GATTCGATGTGCAAAATGTAGCATCCATGCTAGCTCTGTAAACAAACAAGCTGGCTGATGAGACGTCACATCTTTTACTGCGCATGCGTGTTACATCAGTGCTGTGGAGTGTTCACACAGGAGTCTGATGCAGGTCACATTTAAAATGTAATGTGAACGTTCACACAAAAAGATCGGATTTTTTCAAAAAATCGGAACTGAGCATTAAGACCTGCAGTYTGAACGTAGCCAAAGAGTTACAAGACACTTTTTCTCTGGATATTTCTACAAACTTCAATATTTTACTTCTAATGCAAATCATTGTTTTGACCAAAGTGAATAGTTGTCATATTTACAGGTTTTCATATAGTTGGACGTATGTTTGAATATTTAGTGGTTATTATTGGTAAACTTTTTGCGTCTTGTATGCTCAGAGTGGTGGCAGTCTGTTGAGACAAATACTAAAGGATCAGCAGCATTTTCCCGCCGTTTTGAGTCTTTAGCAACCATTGAGAGCCTTTGTCCTGCTGATTTTCAGCCACACACCTCAGGTAAAATGAGACAAATGCCTACATGTTGTTGACACCCTATAAATATTGATCACATAACCATATAATATGGCTTATGAGTAATTTATAAAGCCAAATTTAGGTTTTTACACTATGCACCCACACGTATTTGATAGAAATTCTGTCATCGACTTGTTTGATTTTTATCAGACTCCACCTAAAGATATTTTATTAAATGCCAATTTGTGTAGGTGTGACTGGTAGGGGAACATCTCCGCCTACTACGACCTCTGCTGTGAACACCAGTTCATTAACAGCTAAAGAAAAGGCAAAAAAAACTAAGACTGCCTCAACTCAGAATCAAAAGACCACCCAAGAGTTCGTGCAGTCACTTCATAAGACTATTCCAAAACCAAAGAAAAGTTTCGAGGTCAGTATTTGATCAAGCTTATTGCGTTTGTTTCAGTTGAAAATTTGCTACACCTAATTTATTTACCACTCGTGTCATTCAAGCCCATGAAAAGTTCATCAGAGATTTCCAGCACAAGTGGCTGTTTGTCAGCATCCTGGTCAGAAAGCACCAACGATGTGGAGGAAACCAGCAGAGATCCTGATGATAGTTGGGACGATGACAACGATCCGAACAGTGACGACTCTGATCCTGAAAAACAGAGTCCACAAAGAAAAACCAGGGTAAGCATGAGTGATTTTAGAGCATTTGTTAAAAAGATCTGCAGAAGGCTGCCAGTTTCAAATAATATGGTTGTTTCTTGTAAAATAATCCAGAGAGGAATAGTGTTGGGGATAAAAAGTGCAACTTCTGTTGAAATGAGTTATTTTGTGTGTAATGATTTAGTGAAAAGGGTAAAAGTGCTCCGGGTTTATTAAAGTCAATTGGTGGGAGGAAAGCTCAGTGAGTGTGTTAAGTGACAGAGCTGCCGGTGTGATGCTCTCACAGCAGACGCTAACTTGACTTTCTGTCTTCTCCTTGTTTTCCTTCATCCTCCTACTCAGCGGCTGACACACACTTCTGAGCGTAAAAAGAAGAGATCTGCTGATGGAAATACTACTCAAGAGAGCCTTTGCTACAGTGTTCCTGTGATTTCCTCCTTTCAGCCCCAGCCTTTGCCCCATCAACCCACAGCACTGTGGTTCCAGAGAGCCATGGCTGCACAGAAGGAAGGCCAGCAGCATGTTAGCGTCATACAGCCCACAGGACTGGTAACCAGCAGCATTCCTTTAACGCAGTCCCATGGGCAAGCTTGTACTTCACCCAACTCCTCAAAAAACATGCCCACTTTAACTTCACAAAAACCTCTGACTTGTATGTCCCTGCCAAACCAAAGTTCTTTCTATTTGCAACCTGTAGCTTTCTGTTCCTTTAAGAACCCCTCCTCTCTGTGTTCACAAGTTAAACAACCACCTCATGGCTCATGCACACCTTTCTCCTGCTCCTCAACCTCTCATGTGCAGTCACCCTCAATAGAATCCTCACATGAACTCAAATTTCCGATGACCCCAAAAAGGCACACGCACCTTGTGAAGAACATGGAGAGTTGTAGAAGCCTTCCACATGACCACGTTTTACAGCCGAACAACTTTGTACTAAAGAGGGTGAGCTCTGTTTTATTCACATTGTTGCATTTTCATAATCCTTCATTTTACGTTTTGAGTAAAATATATTTTAATTTACTTACAGGTAATCTTTGTTTCCATTTAAAAAAAAATCACTTTGGAACTGAAAGCGGATGCTAATACTATTATTGTGGTTCTTATTATTCTACACGAGCATTTGGCCCCTACATGGCTGGAAGTGACAGTGTGTCTAGTTTCCAAAGAATAGGCTTCACAAAACTGACAGGCAATTAGATTTGTTATGCTTTGGGATGTTTGTTATCAAGAGAGAGAGAAATTTCTCAGCCCAGGCCTATGTTATTGTCACCATTCTCAGAAAGAGGGATAATGGAGCAATCTGCAGCGAGAGGGTTTTAATTCATGTGATGGTTGTTGAGCAAATGCAGGCTTTTGTTTGCTGGAGTTTGACTGGTGTGACAAAAACAAGATGACAGCTCATGTCTTATGGTGGCAATAAGGCAAAATGTTTCTATAGCAGCTTTTTTTCTTATTGCTGCTCTTCATTGTCTCTTTTCACTGATTACACTTTAAATGTCTTCAATCACCACCCACAGTAATGTAATGTGAGTGACAGTTTTTGTAATTATTTTTACTTTTTTTTCATTTATAAACCAGGATTCTGTGAAACCGCCTTCTCCTGTTCGACTAAAGAASCAAAGGTGATTAAAAAGTCACAATCCATCTTTCTTATCATTGTTCCACACCTCCTAATTATTTTTATACACAATAACCAGTTCTTGTTTTTTTTCTCCCCTTCCAATTGACAGTGACACAGACCTGCTCCTGAAGTTCCGCCTGAACGAAGCGACCCACAGTGCAGTTCAAGATGCACCGTTGGCTCTCGTCACTAAACGCCGCAGCCAGAGCTGCTTGCCAAACAGCAGGTCGCACTTTGCATCTTCCAGAGCCTCGAGCCTCATGCCCGTCAACTTGAGCACTGGGACCAAGAAGATGTCAAACAGCTCCGCTTCATCAGGACTCGCTCCTGGATCAGGGAAGACCACCATGGTTCTGCACAAACTGACCAGAAACAACGAGTCTGAGTGCTCCAGCAGCAAAGGCTCAGACGAGTCTTTTGAGGATGATGAAGATGAAAGTGAAGATGACGATTCTGGCAGTAGCCTTTCAGGTTTATATTTTTTTCCTGACTTTTTTTTATACTTAACACATTATTACTGATAACAGCTGTGATAAATGAGTTTTCTTGTGAAAAGTGAGTAGTATCAGTAAGAAGACACCTGAGCTGCCTGCCTCTCTAATCCCCTGCAGACTCACAGAGCAGCCTTCAGAGTGACGACTCTGAGGAGCGCGTTGAGACAGAAGCAGCTTGTGGTGCAGAGAGGACTCTTCTGGAATCACCTGAAGCGTCAGCGTCTACTTTCAAGGCTTGTCCCTGTTCTTCCAACTGTTCTCTTCTTAACCAGAAGATTACTGAGCCTCTAGTTTTGTCTTGTGAATGTTTATTCAACCCAATCATCGACTCAGAGCCCCAGAACAAACCCGACACCCCGTCCTCATCTGTCACGTTTAAAACACCAGGTAACATGTCTCGTTACTGAAAGACAATATTAAATCATAAACTCAAATGCAATAATATTTCAGTATGAGATTTTCATCTTGGATCCAGGAATCAGGAAGGTGTTGTTATTCATTCACACTGTTAAACAGAATGTTTTTTCCCCACAATCTTATCGGTGAATATGGATGCTTGTTTTACCTAAACTGAATCAGGGATGCAGTTGCTGCACATTTCTATGAACTAAAATGTGCGCTCTGCAGAAAACTATTCTCTGCATGGAGCCCAGCGAGTTTCTCCTCTTTAGACCAGATTATTTATTTATTTAATGCTGGAAATTGTCCTGTTTATGTATCTACAGTGGGTAAAATAAGTATTGAACACGTCACCATTTTTCTCAGTTAATATATTACTAGAGGTGCTAATGACGTGAAATTTTCACCAGATGTCGGTAACAACCACGTGATCCATACATACAAAGAAATCAAACCATAAATGTCCAGAAATGAAGTTATTTGTAATAATGTGGAATGGCACAGGGAAAAAGTATTGAACACATGAAGAAAGGGAGGTGTAAAAAGGGATGGAAAGCCAAGACACCAGCTGAACTCTCTCAGTAATTAGAAAGCAAGCCTGCCCCTTGTCAGTGCAAGTTAATATCAGCTGGTTCAGTCCCAAATGATGGCCAGGTATCACACAAGAACCATCTGATGATGGGTAAAAGTAAAGAGCTCTCTCAAGACCTTCACAACCTTATTGTTGCAAAGCATAATGATGGCATCGSTTACAGAAGAATGTCTAAACTTCTGAAGGTTCCACTGAGCACTGTTGGGGCCATAATTCAGAAGTGGAAAGAACATTATTTCACCATAAACCGACCACGACCAGGTGCTCCTCACAAGATTTCTGACAGAGGAGTGAAAAGAATTATCAGAAGAGTTGTCCAAGAGCCAAGGACCACTTGTGGAGAGCTTCAGAAAGACCTGGAATTAGCAGGTACGATTGTTTCAAAGAAAACAATAAGTAATGCACTGAACCACCATGGCCTGTATGCACGCTCACCACGCAAGACTCCACTGCTGAAGAAACAGCATGTTGAAGCTCCTTTAAAGTTTGCTGCACAACATTTAGACAAGCCTGTGTAATACTGGGAGAATATAGTCTGGTCAGATGAGACCAACATTGAACTGTTTGGATGCCAGAATACACATCCTGTTTGGAGGTCAAATGGCACTGCACATCAGCCCAAAAACACCATACCAACAGTGAAGTTTGGAGGTGGGAACATCATGGTGTGGGGCTGTTTTTCAGCATATGGTACTAGCAAACTTCAAATAATTGAAGGAAGGATGAGTGGAAAAATGTACAGAGACATTCTTGATAAAAATCTGCTTCCATCTACCAGGATGATGAAGATGAAACGTGGCTGGACATTTCAGCAAGACAATGAGCCCAAACACAAAGTCAAGGAAACTCTCAGTTGGTTTCAGAGAAAGAAACTAAAGCTGCTGGAATGGCCCAGCCAATCACCTGACCTGAATCCAACAGAAAATCTATGGAAAGAACTAAAGATCAGAGTTCATAGAAGAGGTCCACGAAACCTTCAAGATTTGAAGACTGTTTGTGTGGAAGAATGGGCCAAAATCACACCTGAGCAATGCATGCCACTAGTTTCTCCATACAGGAGGCGTCTTGAAGCTGTCATTGACAACAAAGGCTTTTGTACAAAGTATTAGATAAATTTCAGTAAGTGTGTTCAATACTTTTTCCCTGTGCCATTCCACATTATTACAAATAACTTCATTTCTGGACATTTATGGTTTGATTTCTTTGTATGTATGGATCACTTGGGTTGTTACCGACATCGATTGAAAATTTCGTGTCATTAGCACCTCTAGTAATATATTTACTGAGAAAAATGTTTACGTGTTCAATACTTATTTTACCCGCTGTAAATGAGATAGCTATTCATACCTTTTTAATTAATTGATTGTCAAATCAAGTCTTAGTGTTGATGTAAATATGTATTTAACACTGTTTTCACTTTTGAAGTAAGAATTCTTTGCATTTAAACAGAACATGGTTCATTTAAAATATTTTTTTTTTCTCATCAGTTGGAAAACAGGATTCAACAGTAAAAGCCTAAAAATAAATGCATGCTTTTCACCTGATAAATATTGATTCAATTCTTCATTATCTACTTAAAATTATTTTTTATGTTTCATTGTGGAGAAATGTGTTTTTTATATTATTGAAAATAAAACCACCGATTGTTCAGCTCCTTTGAGAGAGAAAAGAAGTATGAAATAAACATTCATGTTTTTTCTTTTCTTTTTTCTTTTTTTCCTCAGGGAAAAGGACGTACGTCACTAATGAGAAAGCTCTGCAGCTTCCTCTTACATTTGGGTGAGCTACAGTTAATATAAAATTAGAGCTTACTGGGTGAAGTGGCAATGCCTTGCCTCAATATAGCTTCCAAATATTTTTTTTACAACTGCTGTTTTTACAAGAAATAAAAATCGATATTTGAAACCAAAGTTTTACTACTGCCGGCAGTTCATATGTTGATTATAAATGAAGACAAAACAGAGGTGTAGTAGACCACAAAACTTAAACTAGAAATTTAAAATAAAGCCCTTCAAACAAAGAATCATTCATTTAAAAACAAACAAACCTTTATGTCAATTTCTTGTCTACAAATTCCGCTGTCATGAATGTGTTTTTTACTGAATTTGTTTAGGTGGCAGAGAGAGACCTGGATCATGACTGTTGCAGGTCGACCCCAAGCTCAGGTGACTTACTTTGCGCCGTGTGGAAGGAAGTTTCGTCAGTTTCCTGATATAATAAAGGTGCGTCAGCTATTTGTGCAATAGCTTAAGCTCAGAGTAAAAAAAAATCTTAAATCATAGGTCTTCAACTCTGTTCCTCGTGACCCACTGTCCTGCATGGTTTAGATGTTTCCCTGCTTCAACACACCTGACTGAAATGAATGAGTGACTGAAAGGCTTCTGCTAAACTTGATGGCATTCTGATTATGTAATTTAATTGTTTGAATCAGGTATTCTGAAACAGTGAAACAGCTAAAACATGCAGGACAGTGGGTCACAAGGAACAGAGCTGTGAAGACCTGCTTTAAATGATTACTTGACTAATCAAACAAGCAAATTGTTTATATTAAATGCACTTTGGTGATTATTTCCTATCATTTCTTTTTCTTCACAGTACATAGACAGAAATGGAATAACTGAAATTTCACGGGAAAATTTCAGCTTTAGCTCAAAAATTAAAGTTGGTAACTTCTATGAAGCCCGAGAAGGACCAGAGGTAAATGTTGGCTTTGTTGCTTCACCTCCCAATAAGATGTTGTAAAGTTCATTTTAAATTTTCTGCACTGAATATTGACACCTGTGTTGTGCAACTGTACATTTCTTGATGTTGAAAGTGAAATCCCAATATTGAAATTACAAGGCCTCTGTTTGTGTCTTTAATAAAGGCCAAACTTAGACGGTCTATTCACCCTTCTTTCTGACTGAATCCCTCCATTGTCTTCATGTTTCTCAGGGTTTACAGTGGGCCTTGCTGACCGAGGATGAGATTGCTTCAAGGATCATAACCACGGATGGGAGACGAAGTCAAAGCAAACGGTCTGAGCACCAGTCAACTCCTAAAGGTCCTGCAGTCAGTTACCCTCATCCCGTCGTGAAAGATAACCTCCAAGGTGTTACCGATGCAAAGTTGATGCGTAAGCTGAAAGCTCAAGGTCAGTTTGTGTCCTAGAAATGCTCAGCATGCAACATGAGCTGCCTTCCATTTGCACATTTGTTTCTTGTTAATTTTTTCATAGATCAAGGTAGTTTGCTACACACATACAGTAATATCATGCTCAGTTAGCCAAAAATAATAAACTTGTTTTGTTTTACTAGAAAACATGTTTTATATGATCATAATTCTTGATATTCACCTGCTTGTTTGCAGTATTGTTTTGGTTTGCTGTACTGTTCCTGTTGTCAGTGCAAATAAAATGTTCATGCCTCAATTAATGAAACCCTATAAATAGGTTGCAGTACCTACATTCTACATTTTTAAAGAACAATACATTAGTACTATTATTATTTTCAAAGGAGCTTAACCAATGAAGCAAAAACTCTGGAACTGTTGCAGTATAAATAAGTTTAACCAATCTAAAARACTGCATTAGTGATGACAGCACTCCAAAGCTAAAAATATCTTCCTTTAAAAACTGCCAATGTCAGTTTATTTATACAGCACATAAAAACAACAGAAGTMGACCAAAGTGCTTCACAATTAAGCCAAACAAACAAATGAAACATACAGTATATTATAATAGCTTAGCTCTAAGAAAATCTAAGAGAAACTGATTGGAAGAAGAAAACACTATTTATAAAAGTACAAATGTTGATTTATTTGTATAAAGTAATAATTTAACACATGCAACTTGCTCATACACTTGCAATCAGCACTAGAAATTTACACTATTTTAAATTGAAGTAAAGTCAATGCTGGTAAATTCTCTGTCATAAAGTCATTTTTTTTAGGTGTCTAACTTTGGAGTCGGATCATTCATGTTTTGCACCTTTTATACATCAATATTTTGCAGAAATAGCTCYACAGGCGGCTCAGATAAAGCTGACGAGAAAACAAGAAAAACAGGCCATAGCGCAGGCAGCCAAAGAGGCGAAGAGGCAACAAGGCAAGCATCTGTTGTCTGATCAAATTCTTCTCTGAACCAGAAAAWGTTCTGTGTTCAGACCTCATTTGTTTGTGTTTTCAGCTATACTGGCGGCAGAGGAGAGGCGGGAAAAAAGGGAGGAGATAAAGATTTTTAAACAACAAGTAAGTTTATTTTTTAACATCGTCTTATAACCACGTGCAGCCACTCTGATGAGATGAGAAAAAAACCTTTCTGCTCTAAAGTTGCTGTACTTCTGCAAAGACCTGCTCCATCTCACATTCTGCTCTCCTTCACCACTTCATAACACGCATGGCTTAACAGTTAATTCATTTGATCTCACCCTCATCCTTTTACCAGGAGAAGATCAAGRGCATTCAGCACGTTCGTACAGAGAAAGAACTCCGTGCACAGCAAGTTCTGGAGGTTCATCCTGAAAGTTATTGCAGAAACATTTTAAAACACTTCCACTCTGGTGTTGATGGAGTTTGAAAGAAAAAAAAAAGCATGCTTAATTGGTTTCTTGCAGAAGTACTATTGAATATGAAAATCTCCTCATATCGTGCTGGAGCTTAATACAAAATACAGTATTTCATTAAATAAGACGAGGGGCAGAATTTACCACGGCTAGGTGAAAGCACCTATTTTGCATTCTCTGCCTAATACAAGCTGTTGGGTCAGGTTTTATAAATCAAATTTCAGCTGACACGCATGGCAAGTGGCTCTTAACAGGATTTCATTGGGGATATAATTACTGTTAGAAGTTTTTCTTAATTTATACTCTCTGCCTGCTGTTCTTTCATCAAAGCTACAACCATTTTGTCTCAGTGGTAATGACAGGAAATGAGAATTTAATTCCCCAACATTTCAGTATGTTTGACACAATCCTCACGTCACTGTTTATAATCAGCATTATATATATTTCTGACAGCATCTTCCTTTTTTATATTTTTTAATGAGGCCGTTAGTATCTCAGTGTGGGAAATACTGGTTTGTCTATGTTTTTGTGCACACAGGAAAGAATAAAGAAAAAAGAAGCTGCTGCCAAAGCAAAATTACTAGAAYCTGAGAAAAGAAACAAGGTGAGATTACATTTATGAGCATTGTTTGGTTGTTTTATCAATAAAAGTCAGTCAGTCTTTTTCTCAGCATTCCAACAACCTGGACCTCTGACATGCAGTTTCTGTAATAATGCAATTTTCTGGCTCTTTGTACTGCTTGTTGGTGCAAAAAAGAGATGCTGATTGCCTTGGTTTATCACTGTAATTAGAAAGGGGTTGGATCCCCTCATTTCATTCTACATGCATTTATTACTGATAATGTTTCCATTTGCACATTCCATTAAGCAGTGATGCTTTGAGGGCTGGAAGTTTGCCTCTAATGTTGTTCAGTAAGACGAGAGAGCTTTTCATTTCTGTGCTTTTAAATGATGTTCATTTGTGTGTTCGTGTTTTGGGTTTTCTAATTGAATTATTCCTGTTTACAGGAGAAGGAAGTTCGTCGACTTCAAGCTGCCATGCTGAAACAGGTACAACTTTATTTTTAGCAACGCTACAATGAAACTACTTTGCCTCTATATTTAATTTAAAAACACTTAAATATGGTTTAACTTATCATCATTTGCACAATTTATCTTGTTTTAAAGAGTGATTTTTTTTTCTGTTGATTTACCAACTCTTTCTACCAGGAGTTGGAGAGACAGAGGCTAGAGATGGTATGAGCGTGTTTGTTTTCTCAGCTCACAACAAATCATATGCATGTTTTGGAATGAGAACTTAGAATCAATATTCCTCACTGCATGTAGCATTCGCTGCTGACATTTAACATCCTTCTGTGTGGCCAGAACAGTGCACTGTGCTGTGGGTCTCTTACAAATGCATCCATTATATGTTGAATCAGACTGGGTGGCGTTTTAATAAACTGAGAAAACTCACACAGCACAGTATCTGTTTTGGAATTTACTCATTTGTTAGTTCAGAATAATTTTGTGTGTATTTGTGTGTATGTTTACCATGACAAACTCCAGAAGATGCTGATTGTTGTGTGAGGTGCTGACATGTTCGATCTGATGCTGCGGTATTGATGTAACATCTACATCTAACACCACACACACACACACACACACACACACACACACACACACACACATTTGTGTTTTGTATTTCTTTGGGTGTTTTTTGTTCAACTATTACAC